AGTCTTCTTCACTTTGTCTTGAAACCGAGCTAAGGTGGTCAGAGAGTGGAAGTGGGTGCTCCGCAAGCCCGCTCTCACTGTTCCCTTCCCTTCTTTTCCCCGTCGGAAGTCACCGCGTATGCCTTCGGTTTGCTGAAGCTCGTGGTGGATATCATCGAAATCGACGATCGAACTGTCGTGTGCTTACATGCCCCTACAATGGGCCACGCGGTATATACAGTGGACCAACAAGGGAGCTAGATCAGGCTACAGCAGACGTTATTGTGAACGCGCAACCATAAGAGATGCCACACATGGGGGGATGTAGAGCATGTCTAGGTTCAGGCTCACGCCACAACAGCCCCCTGCGTCTGATCCCGCCTCGGGTTTTCTTAGTTCTGTCTTTACACCGGGCCCAGCTTCGAGGGTAGGACAGAGAGTGAGGTAGATGTAGCAAAAGCCTACTACTTAACGCGCAATTAATCACCAGTGCACTCTCTATCCTCTGGTGCCTATGGTGGACCTCGTAGGAATCAATGACCACACTGCCATGTTTGTGAGAGAACGGCCTGCATTAGGTCAGTCACGTCATCTCTAGGCGTCGTATTAGCTACGAAAATTTTACTCCATAAACATTTGATTTAAAAGTAGCTTAACCATTTTTTGACCTGTTTTGCTTTCAGAACGTCGTACAGTGTGTCGTAACGGCCTTGAGGAGTATAGGCAATATTCTGCTCGTTGCGGTGCTCCTGGAGTTCATATTTGCTGTCATTGGTGTGCAACTCTTCAAGGGCAAGTACGTCGGCTGCAATGATCCCACCAAGCTCACTGAAAAAGAGTGCCGGTAAGTTTGTGCGCTCTATCTATACTGTCGCTTCTTGTCCTGTAACATTTTAAATAAACCGAAGACTGGTAGAACTGGCTGGTTAATTCTAGGTACAGTAACCTGACCAGTAGACTAGAAATAGCGGACCCTGTGCAGATGGTAACCGAAGAAAATCCTCGCTGCTTTCATGATAAATACCAGTCAAAGCTCCCCCTGTTTCGCTCTGAGCGTCATTCGGCAGTGAAATTCTTTGCCGACTTATATTGTGCATCCCTTATTGTGTTTTCAGGAAGCGCCTGGATAATCATCTGTTAATGGTCAACTAAAGCATATTGTAAATTACTACTTAACTGATTTCAGTAGAATGTTTTGTTTACGTCAACTTTGACTACGACGAAAATGTCAGTGCAAATGCAACGAATGTGTTGTACGCTGTTATCTCGCAAATCGCGCACCTTTTTAAAATTCATGCCTGTTTATCAGTCTCATACATTATGCATAATAAAACTACTTTTGACACATACCTGTA